AGAAAACCTATTTTTACTCAACATGTTTTTGATAGTTTTTATTTGAGCTATATTCCATCCTCTAAGCCAACATTAGGAATTTTGTTTAATCTGTAGACATTTTCGCACGCAGCGTATTGTCTGCCTGATCTCTGATGCTGTCTGCGTCTTTATACAGCACTTGTACCCAACAGCTGCTTTAACAGGTTGTATAGGATGTCGCTCTGATTTTACTACTTCACAACTAGACAGGAAGAGAAAGTAGATAGCGAGATGATTGTAGGTATAAACAAGAAGGAATGAAGCTAACGAAGATAAGAAGAGAACGACAAGGAGATAGTTATATAGTTTGTAGATTATGTTGTTGTAGATAGATATAATGTATGATGTCCTTAGTATATGTAGTATACATAATATAGGGAGAAGAAGATAAAACCAACGAAAAGAATTCTTGAAGATGTTATATATTAAGATTAGTAGTGGAGTTCTTGGCAGAAGGGAAAAAAGCGTTTTCATATCAATTTCGTATTTGTAACTCATCCTCTACTCTTAGTATTGTATTATTATTAGATAACACTTCTTAGCTCATTATTGCTTTTATACATAATTATTTTCTATGGTTAATAAACATTCAAATTTTGAATATACTCTATTATTCTTCTTTGATACTATTCAATAACTCTATGACTTATGTGTTGTGTTTATATTACTAATACTACTTACTAGCTTTTCACTTATATATTACGATTGATCATAATAGTAAACATTAATTTACATTAAAGATAAAAAAATGTATTCTCGAGTACCGCTTGTCATAAGCTGTCTTAAATTGATTTCTTTACCAACAACTTAACAAACAAAATCAACATGTCTCTAATCCATCTCCAATACTTCACACTACAAAGTCCATTGGCACACTACTGATGAATAGATCCTTAGGTAACCAAACTTGTAGTTAAGTTTTGTCTAACAAGATTTCCTAAAACGTGTCCACTGTAAGGTTTTTTTTCAAAGTGGTTACTTGTTGGGACTAGTTTTAGCAGGCGGGATTAATACACTTTGGTCTCTGGTAAGTATTTCCAGCTGCAGGATTGGCTATGTGGGAATAGGATCTAAAATACAACTGTGTGTCTAGTAAAAAAGGGAAGTGTTTGCTGTGGCTTATGGCCATCAACAGGCATATACTTGTTAGTTGGATCAATTCACTGTTGTTTCCGCTCTTTCAAGGGATTTTTATTTAACATGAACAAAATAACAGAATAAAAATTATCTTTAACTCTCTTAAAGAATACCAGTATCTAGATGTCCAACTTTTCTTCACCAAAGCTAATCGTAACTAACATTGCTCTGTCTTTGTCCTGGGCAGACAGTTAATACTGTAAATTGCTGTATCAAAATGTTAAAACACGCTCACTATATTTGTTGATATTATCCAAAAGTTTTGAAACAGCAATGTTAAAACCAGAGAGAGGAAGTCATATAATTGACTTTCCATCCCAGTTTTAAGCCACTTGTTTTACCATACCCTTTAGATACGTTGGTGTTCTTTCACAATATATAGTTTATAAATTTTATGTTAAACATATTTGAACCAATGAAGAATTTTATCTCATAGAACGTCTGCATCTTAGTATCAGAGAAACAAGCTGAGCTAACGTTAGTGGCAGCTCAGCTTGCAGCCCCTCTAGGACGTCCTTAGTCTGCCAAACATTAAAGAAGAAACATTCTTTATTTTTTTTATTTAGTGGTTTTAGTGGTTTGAATTACCTGGTCCATTTTTTCAGAGAGGAGGAGAACTCAGCTCAACTCTGGAAATTCAGCTTCATTTTTCTTTATTTGGATAGTGAGAGTAGAGAGCAACATGAAAGGCGAGGAGACAGAGGGGATGACCGCAAAGATGCAGCGGAGGCCAGATTCGAACCAGGGCCTCTGCGTTAAGGACTGTGATTTAATATGTGGTGCTCGGATGCCCCAATTTGAATTCATATTAAAAAATATTGATTAAAGCAGCTGTTAGTGTAAGTATATTAATATTATCCTATTTATTTTGATTCTTACTTTGATGCATCCATCTTACTGTTAACCAGCCACTCACTCTTCTGCCCTGCATCATCTCCCTGGTTATAGCCAGTGTACATCTGCTCAGCAGTATATCATGGATGTAACAGGCTATAGTTGAGATTGAATCTGTGACCTTTCGCTGACAAGAGGCTCTAACCACTAATCCATCATGCTGCCCTTTAACTGATAGCGGATGTAGTCGCCCATGTAAAGAATCTCTCTGGTGACCCTAACACCAACTAGATGATACTGATAATAACAGTGCTCTTCCTTTTCACAACATCTGGGAGTTATAAAGTTATAAAATATTAAGAAATGAGTACCAGAAGTAAGAGTACCAGGGGGGGAAATAAACTTATATTTATTATTTATTGATAGACATTAAATATATTCTAAAATACACAAATAGATGACATCATGCCATTATTCTTAATTACAGGCTGCATAAAAGACAATGATTCATAATCTTCAACTCAAATTTTATATAATTTCTCATATGTGTGACACAAGTTCTACTTTGAATATTTGACTATACATCGCTGTCACTATACATTCTGTACAGTTAAATGGAAAAGACTGAACTATTTACAGCAGTACATACAGAATGGTTTCTGTTGTTGCAGTCAGGGCCATACAGACAAAGCCTTTGTAGAAGCAAATTTATGTCACATGCTTGCTTAACCTCTGTAAGCTGCTGTCATCTCCAACAGGGAGTGTTGGAGAAAAAGGTTTTTGCTGATTTTATAGCCATCAAAGGCTGAAAGGAGTTACACTGGCATTGTGTTTCATGATTTACAACATTTATAAAAAAAAAATAGTCAAATACACCCAAGGAAGTAAACTGTCTGTTACACTATAATGTTAAATTGTACAACACTGAAGACAGAAACATAACTTAAACCTAGAAGATTAATGCTGGATAAATGAGCGCAAGAAGTAACTTCTTCAACTCTACTTGACTGATGGACTGTTCTTCCTCCATTACAAATTTGAGAAAAGTGTGTAAGATGACACACAGACACATATCAGAGTATTTCTGTTTGATAGAATGAAACGGGCTTTAAAAGACCATCACATACTATGAGTTAATTGCCGCAATACACAGACACAAAATGTAAAAATATTTTATTATCATTATTTAAAGGAAATTACTGTAAAATGAAAGTTGAAATCAGGAGTTTACATGGCTAGCAGGTAAGCAGGATGTAGCAGGTTTGTTACTGCTGAGTTAATGCTGCAAACTGGCATCGATGAGGTTTTTTGAAATATAATGCTTTACCCATCAATCAGAAAAACTGGTTACGCAAAGTTAGAATTGTCATTGTGGAAATCACCTGTAAATTTGGATCTTGCATGTGCTTGAAAGCTGCACACAAAAAAGTGTCATGCAATAGACAATGATGGTTAAAAACAATTAAATCATTATTTAATTAAGAATACATCAAATAAATGCATATAAGTCCTACAAATCTCCAGCAAATCTCCCCCTTATCTTACCAAATCACACTTAAAGTCTTAGAGAAGACATTAAAAATTTTTCGTTTTACAAGTATCCTGATATTGTGATTTTACATAGTGAAGCCTCAAACACGCCCCTCGTTTTTATGCTGTGCAAACAATACCATCATGTTTTCAGTGTCTTCATGATTTTAACTGTGCAAAACAAACTCTGTACTATACCACTGAATAGAGATAGATGCTAAGTTTCTGCAGTATGTGAATGTCATTGGATTGCACATATTTTTACTGTCAGATACCAAAAGATGCTAAATATCCATGAAGTGAAAGGAGAAATTGTACATAATCTTTATAAATGTACATGTCACAGACACTGGAACAAGCGGTGAGGAAATGTGTAACTCCCTTCATTAATGGTTTTGCACAAAGTCTGTAAATGGCTCTGGCCGCATTTTCAGCTAATGCCGCCCTGTTGACAACAGGGGGCAACAAAAGCTCACAACAAAATAGAGACGAGCAATGCAGATTCCATTTTACATAGCCCTCCTGTCCCATGCCTGTCTTACATCAGGCCTACAGTACTGTTGTCAGGGTTGGTGAGGTTCCTTTTTCATTTCTTAAGTGGTACATATACATTCTGTAAAAAATAATGTGTACCAAACACATTGTTCATCCAAACAGTGCCTTCATTTAAAGAGTCTATGCTTCAACATTTTCATTGTTCGGATCGTATTTTGCAAATGGATCTCTGTAACCTGCTTATTTACCTGAAAAACAGAACTCTAAAGCCTCATGTGATCTACAAAACATATAATTTGGTTCAATTGAGATTACTTTGCTCAAAACACAACATAATTTAAAGGCAGATTAAGTGTTTGCATACAATGATCAAACAATATTTCAATATGTCATCCCACCAGGTTTGATTTTACAGGTAAACTTTTTTTTCATCCAGTTTTGGTAATGGATAACAATGAGCAATTCATAACTAAACACCCTTAATCTCCTGACATGTATCCTGTTAACCTCCAACCCTGACTATTCTCATAACGTTGATGAGACTGACAGCATGCCAATCAGTGACACTGTGTTGAACTCTATTTTCTCCACACAGCAGATGTTTGACCCCTCAGAGGTGTTCCTCCGTCCTCTGAGTCCAGATGGAGTCCAGAGAAGGTCACAACTGTTTACAGCGACCCATCTCAACTCGCTGCCTCATAATTGGATTTTTTACCGTCATGGAAAAAGCTCTGACAATTTAATTTGCAGTCTTCACTTGGAAAACAATCAGATTTCATGGCCAGTTCTTCAGACACGATGATGATGGGCAATTCTGCCGACAGTTATAGTATAACAAACTGTTGGTTCTTTTTAATTCCATTATTGTTCTGTATGTCACTGTTATTTTTCATTCTCTATCGCAATATTGCCCATTTCTGTCAACTTTCAATATTCTCATACTGTGCTCTCAGACCCATAAAAAGCTGCACTAGGCAAATTCAGTAAAAATACAACAGTCCAGCTGTGACAAAGAAAACCATGCCTTCTCTCATAAGAGGCTTCAGATTTATTTGTGCTAACAAGATGATATATTTTCCGGCCACAGGAATTGAATTTAAACTGAGGAGTGAGACTCAAACAGCTCTGTCTAGATGAAGCTGGAGTCCTCTCTCATCACTTTGGTTTGCTGTAGTATAAAGCATTTACGTTTTGTCACATTAAGAATGTGGTGTGCAGTTTACATAATTTTACATTTTACACATATTAAAGATAAATAAAAAGATAGTTATCTCTATCGATAGCTATCATGTGCAAACAATGTACAAGGTTGCCTAGTGCAGCTTTAACAAACCAATCAAATCTGACTTCTGCTTTGATTTGAGTCAATCTTTCCCATCCCATTTTTTCGTCACAGTCTGTCCTGACGTAGTAAGTCTCTGTAGACTACGTAGACTCTATCCTACGTCACATATTCAGGCCGGTCTACATTCCAACATCTTCTTGAAGGCTTTCCTGAAGCTGTCATCCAGGAAGGCGTAGAGGAAAGGGTTGAGGCAGGAGTTGGCGTAGCTCAGGCTGGTTATGAAGTAGGAGATCCCAATTAGCAGCGGTGTGGTCCTCAGGTCCGTCGTCAGAGCCACAATGGTGCTGAGGTGGAACGGCGTCCAGCAGAACAAGCACACAGCCAAGACAATAAACACCATGATGGTGACTTTCTTCTTGGCCTTGTCCAGCGCCTTGGCATTGCTGTTGAGCCGCATGTTCCTCAGCTTGTAGAGCATCATTGTGTATAAGATACAGATGGTTGAGACTGGAATGGCAAAGCCCAGTATGAGCGTGTAGATCCGGCTCGCTTTGAACCACAGACTCTCAGGGCTGGGGAAGCTGAGCACGCAGCTCTTCCTCTCATCATTGGGGTTGATGTAGACACCAGCGAAAACAGTGAAAGGCATGACAATGAGAATAACGAGGATCCAGACACACAATGAGATGATTTTGGCTGCTCGGTACGTGCGGTAAGGCATGCGCTTGGATCTCACCGTGGCCAAAACAACCAGGTAGCGGTCAATGCTCATAACTGTTAGGAAATAGATACTGGAGAAGATGTTGTAGTGGTCAATGCTAAGGATAACTTTGCACAAAACCTCACCGAAAGGCCAGTAGTGCAGCAAGTGTTCGGCAATGTTGATCGGCAACACCAAAGTAAACAAATCATCAGCAATGGCCAAGTTCAGGATGAACATATTAGTTACTGTTTTCATCTTGGGGGCTTTGAGGATCACGTAGATGACAGCCGTGTTGCCTGTCAGTCCCACTGCGCAGATTACAGAATAGATGACCGGTAAAATGACGTAAAGGTCAGCATAGAAGGGAAACTCAGGGGGAAGCGTGCAGTTCAGGTTAGTGTGGTTCCCTGACGTGAGGGAGTAGAAGTCCACAGAGTCGTTGCAGACTGGCGGTGCACCGCCCGGGATAGACATATTCTCCATGTTTGAAGAGAAAGTGAAATGGACGTTGGCAAACTAAGAGTCTCTGAGCATTGTGAGACAAATATCCACAGATAAATAAATTATTAATTAGTTGATTAGAGAAAGATTTGTTTCTTTGTCTTCCTTTTTTGATATCTTCTCACATAGGATACATCAGTTATAGTCCATAGTATCACTGGACAGGAGCTCTGCCTCTGACCACTGGCAGATAACTGAGAAGAGAACAACAGTTCCCAATCTGAGGTCTAGGCACCACCAGCAGGTCACTGAGAAGCTCCACTAGTTAATTTTAGGTCAGTTATTTTAGATGTTTCAGTTTCTGGGATGTTACGAAAATGTAGGAACTATGTCAACTACTCTCATGTATTGTTATTTCCCCTATTTACTGTACAGACAGTTAGATGATACGAAACCATACATAAATAATAATCTTGACGGATTAATTTTCTCCACAAAAAAATCTCACCCTAGGAGGGTTCATCCGCGGTAAAGTGTCCTTGATGTGAAAACGCTCCAGACGCCCAGCTTCATTCTCACTAAATGAGCGGTCCCCTATCAAGTTTCTTTCAAGGTTGGTTTTCCATTTCCAAGTCTTTAAAAACATTTGGCACTTTGTTTATCTCCACGCGGGTTCACTCTGTCACTTTTCCTTTATGAAGTCGGCATGAAAATGACATCTTGCCGATGTTGCGTTTGTCTTATATCCTTGCCCTCCTCCTCTGATTCTCTCCTCCCCCGGTGCCGACGATTTAAAATTAGTTTTAAAGGTTGAACGTGTCCACGATAAGGTTTACGATGGTTATTTATGGTTTCGGGTGGTGGTGTTTCTTCTTGATGCTTCCTGTGCGCTTTGGAGACGGTGCCAGTGTTTTACGCACGAGTGGCGCATCTCGAAATCTGCACAACAGAGAGATATGGACATCAATTAGTTGCCTTACACACATTTTAAACATCACTGGAGAGAGTAAACGTTGCACCAATTAAAGTACATCCAATCTGTGTCATTACAGGCTGTTGACAACGTCCAGGCAGAACTGGATCACACTTCCGCTAACGGATTTTTCTCTTTCTAAATAACTATCATGAATACATACAACAAACAAAACTTTGCATATTAAAGCAACACGATATTTATCCGTGCATCATATTTTCTGTGTAATTGTGTGTGGGGCACAAGTAAAAAACAAAACAAACAAAAAAAAAACGTATAGTGTATATGCAAAAAAAACCTTTTGTAAAAGTTCTGTCCTGGTGTAACCACATTCATGTATGTAAGACTTACGTTATAATCAGTCGATGACAAATCACAATTTCACAGATATTAAAGAGCATAAAGTGAGTTCATGCGGGTTTACCCTCGTCTGTGTCCCTGGTAAAGTCTCCGGTCTCACCGCTGTGGAAGACGCTGCTCTCCAGCCTCTGCTCTCTCTCTCTCTCTCTCTCTCTCTCTCTCTTTTTTTCTCTCCCCCATCCCTTTCTCTCTCGGCTGACGTCATTCCGAGATCCCCGTGTCAATCATGTGGTCCGTGAGGTTCGTGCTGCCCCGACGTGCTTTCTGTCAAAATTATTTGTTACAGTCTTTTTCATTAGCATGTTTTATTCATTCATTTATTCATCATAGCTTTAGAGAAGCACTCAAATTAAGTTCATTATTCTTGTTACTATTTTTGTTGTCTTCTTTTAGTCATTTGACTCCTAAATCGTCATTGGTTTCCTTAAATTTGCTCCAATCAATATTTTTGTATTATCAATGGATCAAATTACTCTGTAGCTAATGCAACAGTTCCCCTCCGTTCTATGTTGCGCTGTAAGGGCATTTAGGCCCCTGGTGTTCAGCCTCCTCCACATGTGGCCTGAGCCCCCCTGGCAGTCTGAGGCCCCTGGGGCAGCTGGCCTAACTGGCTTTATATATATATATATACACACACATATATATATATATATATACACACATCTTACTATACACACACATACACATTATTATTATATATACACATTACATCAGTATATATCCTTATTATATATATATATATATACTATATAAACACTATATATATAACATATATATTTCATATATATACAGTAATACATATATATACATATTTTTATACATATCTTTTTATTTATATATACTATATATACATATATATATTCTATATTATACATTACATATTATATATATTATTAAATTATAATATACACTATATATAATTATCATTTATACAATTTATATACGATAGTTATACATATAATATTATGTGGTTTGTTGTTTTTTTGTGTTTTTTTTTTGTTTAAGTTGATTTTTGAGTGATTTTTTATTTTGTGTGTTTTTGGATTTGTAGTGTGGTGTTTGGGTTTTTGTTGTTTTTTTTTGGTTTTTATTTTTTTGGGTGTATACGATTATATATATTATAATATATATTGATATATACATAATATATTATACACATACATATATACACACATATGTGTATATATATATATATATATATATATACACACACATATACACATATATATATACACACACATGGGCTCTATAAAGCATTTTAAAATCTTTGAGCTCATTAAATATAAGACTTATTTTTATAGCTGCAGCAGGCAGCTTTTTCCAGTGAAGAAGCTCTGCCAGTTTGGTGCTGTGCAGGTAGCATGTCAGACAAATTTAATGACTAGCTGGTGAACATAGTGGAGCATTTAGCAGCTAAGGACACAGATATTAGATTTGATTAGATTAGATTCAACTTTATTGTCATTGCACAAGTACAGGGACTAGGCAATGAAATGCAGTTAAGCATCTAACCAGAAGTGCAAAGCAGTAAAGTGCAGAGTACTGTATGTACAAAAATATGTAAAAAAACAAAACAAAAAAGGGGTGGTGGATTGCAAAATAAAGCTACAAAGACAGTGATTATTGAATTGAATTATAGTGTTGTTCTGTTTCTGCTGATGTGTAAACATGTTAACACAAAACACATTTTTATCACCTTATAAAGTTGATATGGTTAACAGATTGTTCCACTGCACCCAAGTGACCCAGAAAAAATAAATAAATGCAGATTTAAAGAATGAATTCATACCCTCAAAAATACTCAAGCCCACTTTTATTGTGTAATTTATTCTCTCCAATTAAAGGGGTACTCTTGCCATTTAGAGCTGTGCTTCCATAAAGTTGTGGGACTCATTAGAGACAGATTTGTTTTAAAAGAATTAAAAATGGAGGCCAGAGTTTCTTGACTTTTAATCACTTTGGGTCCAGCTCCAAAAATACTGCATCCTGCAATTCCCATAATGCAACTCAAAGCATCTTCCAAAATCAGAAAAGTTTTAAAGGTCCAGTATGTAGCACGGAGGATCTATTGGTAGAAATGGAATATATTACTAGGCATGTTTTCATTATATGTAGTATTATACTTACTAATTATAGTAGTAAGTATAATCACCTGAATATGTGAATTAGTGTAGTTTTGTTACCACAGAATGAGACGTTTTTATCTTCTTCCACGGAGTCCGCCATGTTGAACCACCATTTTTCTTTAGTAGCCCAGAACAGACAAACCAAACACTGGTTCTAGAGGACTCTCGTGTTTTTCACAAGTTCCGTCTTCTTCATGCTTGGAAGTGGTATTCGGTTGGTTGTAATCTTTAACTACACCGCTAGATGCAACAAAATCGTACGCACTGGTACTTTAAGTCTCAAGCCCAAGCTGAGCTAACTGATGACACCACTATGACATCCTCAGGGTTATGTTTTCTAACTTTGGAGAGCTACCTCCAGTCACAGGAGACACCATACAGTAGTTTCCACAGGTTGAGTAGTACTCCTCATGCCAAGTAAACTGAACTTCATGTATGAAAGGCCTTGAGTGGCCATTGAAAGAGTACTTAAAACAATCTTTTGAATATCACACTCATCCCTGTTAGACTTGAAGAAGGGGCTGTAAAAAGATGTTGCTTGTTTCCTTTTACAAAGACGGTGGCTGTTAGTTTGGATTTCAGTATCAACGTCATGCCTGCCATAACATTTTTATAAATCCTGGATTGATCAATTTGACAAAAAGCTGAAGGTTTTGGTTTCTAACGAGGCATCAAAGAGTTTTTAATCCCATATTTTAATCTGAGCAACTGAGTTCACTCAGTAATGGGAGGAGTGGAATCAAATCAGAATGTCCACCCTGGGGGGAGACACTTCGTCGTCTTCTGTGAAAATCAAAACTTTCATAACTTTCCCTATGACATGTTAGATGGAAGAAACTTTCTGACACAAGAAAGTGTAAGACTCTGTGGCTACTTCCAGTGTGACACAGTCAGGGTTGGCTTTTTCTGGAAGACTCCGGCAGACCATCTGTCACACACCAAATATGAAATTGCCTTCCTGACTGCGCCATCCATGTTCTTTCCTTTTGTTTTCAAATCATGTTGTCTTCCTCTTTTATTTTTCATCACAGCAGACGCCTGAAAATGAGGGATCATGAGATGGCTGCTTTGGTTCACTTGGTGCTAAACGTCATCCTCTTGTCTCCTCTTGCTTTTTCTTTCTACGTATTGTCTCATGTCACACTCAGTTCCTGTTTTTGTCTCCTATATGAAGAGGATCTTGTCGTAATTTAAATTCCCCAGATGATGTGTGTCTGCTCTGAATCACTGTAAGCATTTCACTGTAAGCATTTCAAATTTTGAGACAGCTGTCTTCAAATTTTTTTCATAATAAATTAAATCCTAATTGAGAAAACAATCACAACTCAAGGTAAACTTACTAGGGCTTTCAACCATATCACAGTCTTCATCAGCATGGAGTTTGTTTAGCTATTATGAAGATGGATCTGTTGAAATGCAAGCTCAGCAGCTGTTCCGATTAGAAAACACGTGTTGCATCAGTCTAAAGCCATGCTAGCAGCTCTGTGATGCTGTACTTACACCCAGCAGTGCTTTGAGATAAATGCTAATGCATTAATTGCATTGCATTGCTCACATTAATAATGCTGCCATGCTGTTGTTAAGCAGGGATATGGTTTAGGGTTAGGGTTAACATTTGCACATGTTAGCACGTGAGCATGCTAACATGTGCACTCCAAAACACCAAGTATACTATAGCTGGCAGGTAGTTTTACAGGTATATGGTCATAAAGTACTGCAAGTTGACTTTGACCTGATACTGGCAATTCTGCAAAACCCATTCCCCATCATTGACCACATCTGTGCACAATGCCAGCCAACTCTTAGCTGCACACTCTCATGTCTTCTTTGTTTTGTCTGCTACAAAGTAAGTCTCCTGTCATTTCAGACCCTGACCTGCAGTAACCCTTTTTCTGCTGTTCCCCATCATCTGACCTCCCCCCCTACCTGCATACCTGTTCCCACTTACCCAATCAGGCCTGCAGCATATACACTGGCCCATTCCCATTCACACTTTGCCAGATTGCCTATTGTGTTTATGCATTAGCGCTTCAGCCTTCTGTCCTGCCTGCCTAACTTGCCAGCTTGAGACCCCTTTGAATAAGTTTGCCTAGTTTACCTGCCTGGTTTTTGAGTAAATGTGAACTTTTTACCTACCTGCCTGTCTCTGAGTCGTGCATCTGGGTTCAAATTGTTACATGCATGACTACCACAGCACAGTTTAGGTCATAAGAAAATAGATTGTAATTATATTATGGACACCTGATTAAGGTCAGGGTTATAAGGAAACTCTAGTCTACTGCAGGATAATTAGACTTTACAACACACCCATCCACCACTCCAACCCGCACACCTTTACAATCCACAAGGCAATTCCTCAGACACTGAGCTGATATAACCATATTATTAAGTTTTTATGGAAGTGAAAACCGGGAGGAATATTTAGGATATTATCTAAACTGCCCAATAGCTTTCCCTTTCCATAGTTACGCTTT